GTTCTTCCTTCTTGGCAGGCTCCAGAGCCATCTTCCTTCGTTACCCAAGTATGAACCTCCCATGTTCTTAAGCTACAGTTACTAACACATGACAGCTGCAGGAAAAATTGGCTGTGAACTGTATCAGAATTACAAAGAGGAATGGAAGTGATCTATGCAAAATGAAGACAAAGGAAGAGCTTCATTTTCTTTATACTACTTAATTCAGGGTTTTCCTTAAGAAAATCCCAGTGAAACCCACAGTTAAGGAAAATACTCATTTTAAGAGAGAATCACGTAAAGATACAGATGATAAGATAAATGAATTTCTATCCAGTATTTAAGCATGCCCTCAAAACCGGAAATACTTAAAACGCTTCATAAATGAATTTCTATCCAGTATTTAAGCCTGCCCTCAAAACCGGAAATACTTAAAACGCTTTCTGAATAAATTAGAAAACAAAGCCAGAGACTAATGGGGGTTGTAGGGATGAAAGAGAGCTAAATCCATCCTAATTTAATCTCAAGTGGCTTCTGGAAATAACAAAAACCCTGAGCAGAAGGACCAAACAGACTTGAGAATATTCAGAACTGTAATTTTCAGAATGTGATTTTGCCACTTACCATTTGGACAGCAGCTCTCCCCATGTCTCCAGAATTTTTTCTGCACACTCTTTGGAAACATCTCCAGAACCACTTAAGAGTGGCTCATCATTGTCTGCCAACAGAACAGAGATGCTGTGAGATCAACAGCCATTGCTGCACCTTTACAGACTCCAATGTTTCTCTCCCGACTGTATCCGTCTGTGGCCAAAACTGCTCCAAATCTGCGGATGCAGCGCTTGTGTGCTCAACACAGGGAAAATTGATGTTGACTCTTGTTGGGGACACGCAGTGATGTGACAAAAGACAAGCAGCAACACATGAAACTCTGCTAAAAATCAGGAAAATATTTTACCAAGAGAGTGGCCAAACCGATACAAGATCCCAGAGAAGTTGTGGAAACTTCATCCTTGGAGACGGCCAGAACACACCAGGACAAGACTTTGATCCATCTGACTGGTTCACACTGAGTGGGAGGCACAACTGGAGACCTCCAGAGGTCCCTCCTCACATAAGTAACTTTATTATCCTACCCTAAACTTTTTGAAGACTACAAAAATTTTCAAATAGCACAGCTTTCTGTATGTGAAAAGCTACAGGACCATAAAAGCTAAAAAGACAATAAAAACAAAGCAAGAGACATTGCTAATGACTAACACCATGCAAAGGCGTTCATTTTCAAACCAACCTTCTCCTCCTCCTTCTTCCTCTCCCAGAAGGGAAACCAAAGCACAGAAGTGAAACAATTCACCCAAGGCCACATAGGCAGCCAGCAGAAAAAGTGAAAAAGCAGAGCCTCAAGTGATCTCCATTTCAGCTCAGAGCTGTAAGGCCAGATGTTTATACACTCAGAACTAGTCCATATTTTGGCTTAAGAGAAATTTTAAAAAGGAAAAAAAAAAAATCTTGAAAATGCTTTAAGTTTCAAGCTGGGTAGGTTCTGGTACAGTTTTATGTATTACAGGTGTCTATACCAGTCTCTTCACTAAACCATGCTGCTTGCTTATATTGCCAAATAATATCAGCTTCTCATTTTTACTGTCAGATCTGTTCCCAGCTGCTCAGGGAGGGGCAGAAGCTACATGATAATCCCAAATTTTTAGCAGCCTCTTCTCACGTTGTTCCACATATAGCACATCGGAGACTTTGTGAGGCCTGGGCCGAGAAAAGCATCGACAAAGAAGTGTCAGATAAGGGAGAGGCTGAGGCAGGGATGCGGGGGGGCTGGTTATCAAATACTTGCAGCATTAAAGCAAGAGAAAAACTCACCAGTAGGCCAGATTCTGACTGGAAAGGATTCAACACGTTTCGTAACTATGTTATTGACTGACTGCCTTTTCTTTTGAAGTGTACAAAGCACACAGTCCACCTCTTACCTTCCTCCTCATCATCCTCTGGAGGAGAAGGAATCATGGAGCCCTGCGACCCAGACTGGGGCAGACGAAGCGAGGGGCTTGCTGTAGTTTTTCTCCTCTCTCTTTCTGATTCACTCTCTAGGCACACAACTTCATATAACGTGTCCGAGTTATTCTTTCGGTCCTTTTGCTTTATCTAGAAAACAAGAAAATTCATTTTACTGAGAAAAGCTCTATAAATACCCAGATTACTTCACAAGGCTCTGCCTTTCCTTTCTGGAATAGGAGAGCTGAGAAACGATTTTCATCACATTCTGCAGCGAGGAACGTTCAACGCCTGCAGCACACTTAACGCAACCTGCAGGCCTGCAAGTGTTTCTCTGCCTAATGGGGTATTTTAATAAAAATTGGGCATATTTCCTACCATGGCAAATGTCTTTAGTGATGCTTCCAAGTCATTTATCTGCAGGATACACAGGAACACAAATTGTTGAGTCCTAAATGGCTCTATTTTCTCCTTCATTTTCTTACCTTTGATGCCTTTCTTTCCTTTAAACTAAGATTTCTCTTTGTGAAGTGGTTCTACAATTTTAATACAGTCTAAGGATTTAGAACTTTATTTTTCATAAATGAATAAAAATAGTGAAAAAGGAAAGGTGAAGAAAAGAAGGAAATAGGATTTATAATTATACTCTACACTAGCAGTCACTAAGGGTGACAAAGCACTGGCCCAGGCTGCCCAGAGAGGCTGTGGAGTCTCCTTCTCTGCAGACATTCAAAACCCGTCTGACCGTGCTCCTGTGTGACCTGGTCTGGTGACCCTGCTCTGGCAGGGGTTGGACTGGATGAGCTTTCGAGGTTCCTTCCAACTCCTAACATTCTGTGATTTTGCTCCCAGTGCTCAATTTTATTCTCTGGAGTATTAAAAATGAAGAGAAATGCATCAAAACTAAAAATTACTAAATCACTATGTGTAATCTGAGCAAATAAAATTCTTCTGTTTTCACCACTTTCAAATAAAGAAACGCTGCCAAAGTAAGATAAGCCAATTCTGCACAGCTGTATTTTTAATAGCTTAATCATGACTCCATAGAAACAGGTTTCCCTTTCAGGCTTATCAGGCAGTACATTCTATATTTGTTGCTTCCACTACGAATTTTGATAACCTGCCATTAGTAAACACTGGAAGCTGGATAACCTGACAGTGTCTGTGGAAAAAAGAGAATTGGCTAAGATAAGTCACAATGCCTGTGAATTTGGTAAGACAAAAGATACAGAATTAGCTAAGCAAGATAAGCTTCCTTTACACTGCCAAACAGAAAAGGCAGCTTTTAGAGGCTGTAGAATATTTATAGCCCAATGGTCTTAACTGCTCAACATCTCCATGCTCCACCCCATAAATATCCTGATCTCATCCATGAAGGACTTTTCCACCTTTAAATGCCAAAGGAAATTTTGATGGAAAGTTTCCAAAATGTTTATTCATATTTTATAAAAAAAGTAGGGCATACACAAAAGAGAATCCTTAGTGAGCCTCAACTTTATTACTACCAAGATGCCATGATTTACTAGCACTTTAAGACAAGTGCAAAAAGAACTAAGAAAAGCCTCAGGACGCTTATCAAGACATCAGGACTCCAACCTCACTTTTTTGGGATGCAGCCAGAATTATTAAACCTTGACAGAGCACATACATCCACATTATCATTATTTGCTTCTATATATTTCCATTTCTTTAAACAGGACCTTCATTTCAGAACAGTAATTTCTAAAGCAGGAGAATGGCAGCGACTTCAAGTACACTGTCTCTTTAGTGACTTGGACCTTCAACCTTCCAGTCTTATTTTGAGACCAAGTTATTGTCTTGTACTGTTATTATTAATATCCTGGAAAGAAATAAACCTTTCCTTTTTAGTTGACAGGGTAAAAAGAGTAACTTGGAAAAACCAGTAAAAGGTTTATAACAACTTCTAGGGACTTTTTTGTGGTTGCTCAGATTTTTCCCCCTCCCCAAGGGAAACTTGGGATATGTGTGAAATCTCTGCTTCCAACCATGTACAAGTGGGAAAATGGACTTTCACAGAGATTCAGGTCTTCTCTAATTTAGATGGATGGTTCCTCATCTAAAAAAAAAAAAAGGTTGTATTTGTATGATAAAGTGACACATCAGAGAGCATGTCGCCAGGATTACGTTAAAGCCTGGTTTTCTCTTAACCTTTAATTTTACATACTTACCCCACTACACCTTTATGCAAGCAACTCTCAGCATAGCCCTCGTTTGCAGATAAATCATGTTCCCCTTATTTCTGTGGTTTGGCTGGAAAACCCATAAGCCTCAATGTAACTTCAGCAGCCTCATCAAAGCTGCCAAAATTTGCTTTGAAATGAGGACATCCATCTTTTTGTGGGAACTTTAGCTAGCCAGCAACAATTAGTATAATGAAGGATAGCTTTTCTAAAATTAAGGAGCATGTTTTGTATCTTTTTGACTCAGGAGCAAGATGTTAAAATATCAATATTATACTTGTAAAGGTTTTACCAATCACAGGGGGAAACACCCATAGTGCAATTCTGATCTGCCAACAGGCACTAATTCATCTTTCCCTCCAATGCACTTGTATTTATTCAGCCCTATACCATGAACCTATCTCAGGTGTCTTTAAACAATGTAGCTGATCTTATCACAGTTATATTTGAAAAACAACCTTGCCAAATCCCACATTAACTGTAGGTTTTCTTTATTTATGTATTTTTAAAAGAGTTACCTGTTTCAATTTTAGGAAAAAATTTTCAGTAGAGCTCCGCTTGCTGAAGGGCCAGAACAACCTCTCATTGGGTGAGCAAACTCTCACTTTAGTCTCCAGGATGAACCGAACAGGTTCCTGGACCTCAGTTATCACCAAATCCACAGCGGTAGTCATGAACAATACTTTATCTAGAGAGGAAAAAAGCTATAGTATTAAAAGAAATATTTAATGGAATATCAAAATCTTCATTAAACACCCTAAGAGATCTGTACATTTAACTCCACAGTGCAGATCTCCTCCATTTAGCCTCATTACATTTTAGCCATTTTTTGCTTTTAGCGGTTACTTAGACAACACTTAAGTGCCACCAAATTAAAGGCAGCATTTAAGACTGTCTCAGCTGTGAGATTCAGAAGATTGGCTATACAGTGTGATGCTCCAAAGGATGCAACTGGACTCCGTGACCTACGAGAGGTCTCTTCTGGTACGAAATGATAAACGGTGACCTTCAGGCAGGCTGGCATTCAATCTAGCAGCAGACTGTACCCAGCTGTACCCAGCAGCTGACTTGTGTGACTTTGCCCAGTCAAATCCCATTAACTTCCCCAACCTTTGGCATGCAACTGTGACAATAGATTGGAGAGATGATAATTCAGCTGACATCTTAAAAGAAGTAATGACAGATCTGTTTCAGGACTCAGGAGAGCAATGCAGCATCAGCTATTTCCCAATTACACTTGGGAATGTTTTCATTTTCACAGGCACAGGAACTCTTTTTTAATTAAAAGCTTGGATTCGGGAAAATCTGAACGGACAACAGAAACTAAGCAAAGAAGAAATCTGCAATAGTCATTTGGTGCAATTTGCAGTGGGATTCCTAAGGGGCAATAATTGTGCACAAGGCATCTGCATCCTGTCCCCACACCTGGACAGCCTCCTACAGTTGTACTTACAAGGATTTATTACTAAACACAGGAGTTTTCTTTTCTTTAGATTTTTATGTTACATTTGGCATCCTAATTTTTGAGAATGTATCTCACACTTTGAAGACAGTCTTTTTGCAGGATCCATGTTAAAGGAAAAGGTAACTGATCCAATGCCCACTCTGAAAGCCCTCCGCCCTGGCTAGGGCTAACATCCAGCAAAACCTCCATACCTTTTGGTGTTTCCTCATTTGCAAACTGGAAGTGTGGAGATTTTTGATTCCAGCTCCCAGTGATCACATATGATTTCCCATCAGAACTTTTACCCATGGACTCCTGGAAACAAGGTAAGTTTATGTCTTTTTTTATTTAAATTAAAGAGATTTCTATATTATGCAGTATTGGACCTTTTAGGGTACTCACTACTGTGACAAGCACTTATTTCATAAATACTAGAAAGTTTGTTTTCACAACGCACTTGTGAAGTCAGATGATCTCTATCATCATTTTGCACATGGGAAAGCGAGTCACAAAAATAAAGCATGTGCTAATTCTCAGTGTTTCATTGGAAGCCGCTTAGACCTCGATTTTCTTACAATGATGCTGTATGCCACAAAACTTTGTGTTCAAAGCACAGCTCTTCAATATTCAGCACTTCCAAAAATAAGGCTCCATGTTTCTTATTTCAGGCCTCTGACTACAAAATTGGGCAACTTCCCTAGCAAACATCAGGTCCTGTTCTAACTCTGCAGCAGCAGCAGGGATTCAACCCAGTTGCCCAGAGCCTCACCCTCCAGAGCAGAAGCTACAGCATCAAACCCCATCAACAAATGTGCATTAAGCATCTAAATCTTTTCTGTCTGTCCTCACACCACGCACAATCATAATCACAATGATGTCTGAATTTTGTTAATAATAAGATCCTTACCAGATCTAAAAGGTGCATGTCACCACTCCGAACATCTTTCCCCCGGCTAAGGAGAAGGCCAAAACATCTGCAAAGCCAGGCAAAATATTAAACTGCAAAAATTAGACTTACTCATAAACAAACCATTAACATTCTTATCTAAATATTTGCTGTCATACATCACAAGCAGCCCATGAATCCAATAACAAATGTCAACAAACCCTGACATTTGAAAGCAGCATCGAGCATGTCAAGCAAGGTTTCATAAGTACATTTCCAATATGATTTTACTCTGCCTACAGCAGCCTGGGAAGCTGGTCAATTATCTTTGTTTGCAAGAACAGTGTAAAACAGACACTGTTAACAAGGGTTCCCTATCCTGCAGAACAACTCGGCCTGCGTGCTCCTTCCCTTTTTTTTTAGGGGAGGACATATTTGTATGGAATTTACCCTTTGATACAGAGAAGAATCAGGAAATTCCAGATGAAGTGCAAGGACCTGTCTTTTATGGTTTCATTTTGCAAAGACTTTTGGCCCACACAGGTATAATCCACTTCATCCTTTGCTTTACCACGCTGTCCTGCATTTCATTACCCACTGCAAAGGCTGGCAGAACCTGTCTCTTTTCTCCGTAGCATGAGCAGCGCTAAACCTTCTGTCGTCAGAAACCACTGGTTCATTTCTGAACAGGGAAAGATTTGAAGACTGAGCTCTGTTTCCCTACACAGACGCTACGTATTCCTGAAGTCCAGGCTGTAGCAGATTCAAAGCATACATACAACAATATTCTCAGAAGAAAACAAATTGAAATAACTCAGCCACCGATTACAGCCTCAGCATTTAAGACAAACTGGCTGCTGAAAATAAAAGCAATGTATTTTTTAAAAACCTATTTTTAAATGGGTATTTAGAGGGGATGCGACCACTGATTCCACAACCAGACCTGGGGAAGATTCAACTGTGCCTGACTGTGACCCCTGCCACACACACGCTGAACCATCTCATCTGCACAATCCTACTCGAGAGAGGTGTGGAGTTAAATTACATAAATGGAGTATTCATAGAGCAATTACTCATCTGCTACCTCAGAGTGAAGAGCATAAAACACCAAGCAGATAAAGAATTTTTCAAAAATCGATGAAATTACCTCTCAATAGCAAGTTCTTTGTTAGTTGTCTGTTGGACGTAGATCACTATCTTCTTATCAATTCCTTGGCGCAGTTTAAAGCATTGCCTGTCCTTGTCTTTGGGAACCGCGCTGTTATTTACCAAGAAAGGGAAAAAAAAACCTCAAGAGAATCATTTATTTGTATTTCTTAAAGTATCAAAACCAGCATCAGACACTTGATGAAGCTGGCTTCAGCTTTGTACACAAAAGCACTCAAGACCTTTCCTTCCTTGCACACTGCAATCAGTAACATGAAAGACGTGGCAACGTAATTAGGTGATGTTATTTTATCACCATTAGGTGAAAGCCAAGGACACGTACTTTCCAAAGTAAACACTGTTTTTTTAGACTGCGTAGCTTAGCGTTGTCAGCCTTCCAGCAGCATTTCAAGAGTTTCTAAATACTGATTCCCCATATAATAGTATCTGTTAAGCAATTACTTGTAAGAAACTGCATATCGCTTTCTTTCACAAGGGAGATGACTGCTGGGGCACACAATAAGCCAAGAGAGTGCACCAGTCTTTAGATTATTTCCCTTATTTTTTCTCTAGGGAACACCTAAACGCTGCAAAAAGAGGAGACAGCGTGTTGTGGTGGAAAAACCTAAAATTCCGTTCCAATGACAACACACGCTGAAGTTTTAGCGTCAATATTCCTTGTTGAGCAGCACAGGTGCAGTAAATACTGGACAAACTGAGCCTGCTGAGTTTTGACTTTCTAAGGCAACCACATGTTCACTTTTCCTTTGGATATAAAAAGCATCCTTATTTTATTTCAGACTTTCAGACTACACATTGTTACTCCCAGGAGCTGCAAAACGGACTGTTGAGTACTGCCCATAGTTTAACACCTCCAATAAAATTTGGGTTCGTGGGGGTTTTTTTGACAGCAGGTGCTTGCCCTGGCCAGGGAATGGCAGAGTGCCTTTAACTGTTGGCAGGGGTTTCGTCTGTGGAGCCAGGACGGTGGATTTACCCCCTAACAGCCTGGACGTGCAGTCAGACCGCATTTCCCCAGCATGACAGAAACGCACTTACGGTGACGCAAGGTGACAAGAGAGGTTGATGAGCCAGGACAGGGTCACGTACATTAAAGACTGAGATCAGAGACTGAATAACGTGGAATTGTTCTCTCAACTTCCAGGTGAGCATGGGTTTGCGCACAAAACATCATACAAGGAGTAGCGTGAAACTGATAAAAGCTTGCTCAACTAAAACCTGTACTGTACACCCAGTGTAGGTAGGATTCTGCTTAGCTGGAGGCAAAAATTCACTTTTCTTCACCTTGTTTAGAGTAGGTATATACTTAAACAAATGCCCTGTTCTACCCCTAATACAACTGTATTTTTGCACGTGAAAAGATCTTTCAACACACCTCCCTAGCAAAGGCTGAGGTTCAGACTGCACTCCACACTGACACACCTGAGCTGGCCAGGACCAACGCAGCTCTTAGCACCACAACTTCATCAAATCCTCGGCTGGACCACACTGCCTGCGCCGCCGTGGCCATGCTGACACCAGCACCACGCCAGCAAGACCGACCTTCACCTGCGGCACCACTGCGTGTTGCAGCTGTGCCTCCCCCTGCCGTGCACCACAGTTCCTGCTGCTGCGTCCAAGCCCAAGAGCCGTCAGCATCTTTCAGGCTCAGTCATTTTTCAGTTTCAATGCTTGAGCAGTCCTTTGGAGTGCCAAATAAATACTGGATTACTAAATAGGATTTATTTCTTTATTTAAGAAACAAAACTCACACTGGATGTAAATCCAAGAAGAGAAACGTCTCTGAAGCTGTGGCTAGGAGCCAACGTGTTCACCAAATCAGAATATTTGGCAGACACGTTATATTAAAATAAAGACACTTCAGCAATTACAGAACACTATAAATGGTTACAGAAAACATCTAAGGGCACTGTGGATAAGCTAAGCAGAAAAAAACCCAAACACCTTTTAGCATAAAGTACAAAATGTCTTCTTAGAAACCAAGTTTACCCACCACCAGACTTAACATGACAACAGCATTAGCTGATACAATGTGGAAAGCTGCTCTGACACCCTCACCCTAACACCACCACTTGCTAATAATACCTGGTTCAGGAAAAAAAAATGAGGAAAAATTAATTTAATTTCAAGAACGGAGTCAGAAAATAGAAACAGAAACAGAGGCAAGCTTTGTTCATAAAGCTTTCTTGATATTGATAAAGAAACACTACAGATGAGAACAACTTCAGCAGCAATTCAGCTGAACACGACTTAAAACACAAAGAAAAAGGTTTAAAGACAAAATAAATACAAAACAGAAAAAAGCTTTGCAAGTAGCACCTGTTTCAGTTCAGGGACCAAGACGAAATAGTCAAGAGGGTCATCACTGATTTACTTCCCAAAAATGTTTCTGTCTGGGATTCATTTAAATGAGAAGAGGAAACTCTCAAAAAGGGAATTTTGGGAGTCTCAGACAGTCACTCTCTATTCACTCAGTTTTCAATGACGGAACTAGACACTGCATGCACAGGAATGAAGAGTCTATACCTGAAATAACCTTTCCCATCGTCTTCTTTGATTTCCAGCGACACGGAGAAGGTGAAGATGTCACTGTCTGGCGTCTGCGGGGTGGCAATGGCTGAGAGCGGGGTTTGTTTGGCAGAACGACGGAAGGCAGTGGCAAAGCTGTACAGTATTCGGCTCACCTGCATTTACACAGCAGCAGAGAAACAGAAACAGAATGAGAAGTAACTGTATGAAAAGAATTCCGTTCTAGCGTCTGATGAACTGGTTTTCTACACTTCTTAAAAAGATAAACTATTAAATACACATTCTTATTTTGTATCTGAGCTTTCCACAGTTATCTCAACTTGGGGTAGAAAAACCAAATTACATCACTTCTAAAGTGCCTGAAATACTTCAGTACCACTTCCACAATGACATCTACATGTACATAATTATGATCTGACAAAAGATTCAACTTACGGCCTCTTGGATTTCACATCGGAAGACATGAATCCTGAAGAGTTCTGCATTGTAGTGGCTTTCAGTAAAAGCAAAGCAATCACTTTCAGGGGTTCCATCATGCCCTCGCACACAGAAAAGGATTTTATAGATTGGATAATTTGCTATTTCTGTGTTTGTCTGAGGATCTAAAAGTCTGTTAAAAGAGAGGAAAAAACAAGAAAGCTTGCAGCTTTAGAAGAGTTATTTCAGCCAGCTGCTAACTTGCAAACCTCAGTGATCTCACAGCTACCGGAGAAAGTACATCACAAAGAAACTAGCTCCTGACTAATTGTCGTTTACTACAACGCTTGAACACAACAACTCTATGTAAATTGAACAGCATAAAAAAATACAATGCAATAGACATTTCCACCAATAATTTCCCCATAGTTTTCAAGGTTTAGCCTTCAAAAAGCTACACTAACACACAGCAGCAGATAGCCTAATCCCTGTTAAGCCTTCTGTATCACTCATTTTCCAGCCCTAGAAACTAAATACTTTCCAGGCTTTTTCCAAGTTGTTCACTAACAATCACTACAGCTTTTGGGACACCTTGGTTCATCGTAACATTTCATAATGCTTCTTGGGCATAAAATGCCTTCGGCAAACAAATTCAAAGCATCCCTTTTCTCAGTTCACTTTTTCCACTAAACAAAATCCCAATGTCACATCTCCTCCCAGGTAAACTGGCAGCTTGTTTCCTTTGCTGAAAGGAAAAAGATTAAATGCACAAAGGCACCTGAGTGTGCTTCATACCTCACTGTTCCTTCAGAGACATTAGGCACTGACAGAGTCACATCTAGAGAAATCTGGCACTGGCTGCGTAAAATGGACATCATTCTGAGGGCTTCCACTTCGCTCCGGGGAGCGTTCACAGAGGCACAGCCCAGATAGGTGAGCTTGCTAAACACCACGCTGTCCTCATCGCTCAGAGGTGTGAAAGGGCTCAAGTCCTCACAGCCTGGGAGGGTGAGACACAAAGTTCAATGTAAGAAGTAACATAAAGCTATTCAAAAGATACCACCAGGCACTCCCCATGTTTTTCTAACCTCCCTGGGATGGTTTCACTGGCAAACTCATTTCTGGTTTCTGGAGTCCAGCCACCGACACTGGATTAATGGTAGAGGATGCCGAAGCTTCAAGGACGACAGGTTCTTCCCTATCTCCATCAGTCCGAACGTCTTCCCCATGGTCCCGGTCACTTGACGGATCCTCCATGGGCGGGTCCATCAGCACGTCTTCAAGTTCCCTCTGCAGCTGCTGTTCGCTTCCATTCCCCACAATCTAAGAGCCACAAACAGTGTTGGGACACAAAAAAGACTGCTCAAATGAAAAAAGCCAACCAAAACCCAAAAAACCCCTCAGGCACAGGGTCATTCATATGGCTTTTTCTGCCAATCAAAGCAGCAGTTAACATTTAACTTAGTTACAACCATAATACAAACTGCAAGATGCAAATGCTCGCCAGCACAGATTATATCCTCCCTGCTTTAACAAACTAAGAACCTCAAAGCAGGAATTTTCTAGTGCTGGAAAAAGTGAGCAGACTACTTTAACACTGATCTTTAATCACCAACTGCAAAGAGTAGCTTATGACAGAAGAAACCTACAGATGTCCACAGTACAGTGCTCTATAATAATCCTCAGAACAGTACCAGAAAGAGACAAATTAAATATGCTACATGGTTCATGGGTAAGAGAGCAAGGTTTCACAGGAAGAATCTGGAACAGGATTATGCCGTCGTCCTGAGAAGAGGTAGAGCTGCTTTATTTCCTAACACTCATCCACAGCCTGACTTTGCACTCATTGAAGTCAACATGAAAGCACAAAGCAACCTAAATGGTGCAAAATTAGGTCCTAAGCTAGAAAGAGAATGAAGTAATTAATTTCAGGAAACCCTAGATGCTGTATCTAAGGAAACTTTGTCCATTCCTCTGCAATTAATAGGGAAGTGACTGATGCTTTACACAGTTTAGAAATTAAGCATGGAAATGGAGTTTACAGAAGTATTTTCCCAGATGGCAGACAGAGGAAGGCACCTGATTCCAGCACTTCAGCTGCCGGTTATTATTGCTGGCACCAAACCTCGACCCTATGAGCAGACACACATTTCTAGATCCCGACGTCTCTGTGAGCTTACTGACCTCAGACACCACATGCAAGCTAATGAAATCCAAACCGAGCAACGAGCCCAGCCTCTTAAAAAGACTGCAAATGTCTTACTAAAGAAGATTTTCATTTTAAAAATCTTTAAAATAAGATATTAAAGACAGGAAGTGGTTAAAAACAGGAGGAAGAATACAGAGCAGACAGAAATCTGCCCATAACACAGTCTCAGTATTGAAGCAAGTTCCATCTGCCTCAAAAACAGCGTCTCATGGCAGAAAATTAAATTCCCTTGAAAGTACCTAAAGCAATGGCCAAGGTTCTCACATTTTAACAGTGAATAAAGCAACCTGAAGCTCATTTCATATTGCTGAAATAACACTGGAACAGATAACAGAACACCTTCATGCACGCAGATGAGCCTTGCCATGAGCTAAATAAACTATGAGCAAAACATCAGATGTCACTTAAATTCTCATATGTGCATTTCCACCAGGCATGTCTTAGGAATAACTACGGTGAGAAGAGAGGTTTCTTGGCCACGTCAGAATTCTGACATATGGTCATTTCCATCGCATCCCCAAAGACAAAATTGTCAGTTCAGAGAGCAAAGGAAGAAACACAAAGTTTCTTTCCTGTCTCCTCTTTTACACTCAGACCCACGCTCTCCAAATACTGATCTGTATGTGCAGCCTCTATCTACACTGCATTAAAGGTGGAAACAGCATTGGAGTTTTCTGGTGAAAAACAACCATTTAATATACATGAATATTAACAAAGGACAGAAACTCCTGACCTGGAATTACTCTAGAGTAGAGATAACAATCACTTTAAGAGAAGAAAAGTCCCAGAACCTCGCTCTTCAGAAGCAAGCAAGCAAAAAGCAAAATTCACAGGTAATGAAGAAAACCAGCAAACACGAGATCCTAGAGGCAGGAGGGACATTTAAAAAGTAACCTAGTGAATGTTTTCTTGCAAAAACTAAACAACAACAAAATCTATGAGATGTTTGTGCTCTGGAAACGTACGCTCAAACAGAAAGCATTTTTTTTAGTATGGATTAAAATACGTCCTTGTGCTGTCTGGGATCACCTGCCAGGAGAAGTTCAGAGTAACTGTCTTATGCAGCTGCACATCCGTGGAAGCATCAGGAACCTGGAACAAGGCACAGCAATCCACAGATTTGCATTTTCCACCAAAAAATTCAGCACGTTGTGGGAACAGTGCTAAGATGTAAACATGGCTGAAACTTTGCTGCAACTCAAGAAAAACCAGTAAAAGGGAGCACGAGAGAGCGCAGCAGAACTAAGGGCAAAAGGGAAGGATAAACAAGACGTATCTAATAAATGCTTCATGTAGGCTGGCTCGAGATAGAGTAAAATAATCCATTTACCCTAACCATTGTTTTCTCCATTCCTCACAAAACTGAAAACTAGTTTTAGTTAACCTTTAAAAAGGACACAGCCTCCTTTAAAACTTCCTTGACAGCAACATGGGGGATTTATTAGCGCTGTAGTTTATCCTGTTCTCTTGAGGTGTGTGCTGCTGGCCTCTGCTGTGAGAGGTCTCATCGTAGTTTAAGAACTCCTGTTCTACACTGTGCTCCAGCAGCAAAGCTCTCGAAAATCCAGTTCACTCCCACTGGCAGTGGGGAAAAGCTGACACAGAAAACTGCAAAGCAGACCATTAGCAATTTATATTTCTGGAAAATAATCACTGACAATCCCTTTATAAACGGTTTGAACAATGCATTTCAGCATAGACTAAAAGCAAAACCACATTTATTAATTATGACCAACTGAAGAAAAATACAGCTCCCGATTGTATTCAGAAGAAATATTTGTCTGTCTGAGCTTGAGAAAACAAAATTAAAACATGGATGAATTCAGTTTACAGCACTATTACCTAAAACAATGGCACATCAGCAAAGAGAGCCTCGGGTTTGATGTACAAATTTCACACCCTACCACATTCAGCCTGAACTTCTAGCACCATCCTCAGACTGCACTTCGCAAATGTAAGATCTTCAAACTGCTCTTCTAAAGAAACAGAACACCAGCAAGACATCTGATAAATACGAACCTGAACTTATTTTCTGCAAAGCAAATGGGTTTTGACACACACAAATTAACTCCAGTTCTAAGTGTGAAAGCAACTGTTCCTGCCTGAAAAAACTCATCTCGCTGCTCCTGTGAAATACATAACCCTCAGCTCTCATGCTGCACTGTTAGTATTAGTTTTCCATATACTGGTTAAATACTTTCAGATATCCCTGTGACAGTACTTTCAAACCTTTATGACTCCACTTATCCATGCTCATAATTGGTTTAATAATACAGTAAAACTGGCTACTGAATGACTGGAGATACCAAGCACAAAGCCATATTCTAGGGTATTGTCTCTCTTTTCCTAAAGAACTATACCAAAAGACAATTTCTGCCTCTAAGAACAGTGAAAATGTCTTCCCATTTCCTCTGTTAAAAGTTTGCACCTCCTTAAGCAGAAGGAAGGAGGATAAGTGGAAGATCCCTGTATGGGAGAATTTAGCCCGCACACTGATGGCTTATCCAACATTCCCATTAATCACTTTGATTGCAGCCAGTAACCAAACTGCACGTACTCTTAAATGCCACAATACTGAAAGGCTCAAGGTGAACCACTTTGCTCAATGATTGTGCTCAGTCTTGGCATCAAATTCATAAAGAAGCTTATCTTTAAGACCTGCAAAGCTCCGTGACATTCAGTGCCAAATCAGGAAGCAGCACAACTTTATTTTCCAGTTGTTGATGAGGACGCAGTAGTGATGTTCTTCTGTCCTCATCAAGAGGAACAGCATAGCTGCAGCCAGGGTTTTATAAACCACTTTGGAAGTAAACACACCAGGAAAATTTAAGTACACTTCAGGAGTTGGCTTGAAATTCATTAAGCATATTCTTCTCTGAAATATTTGCAAGCTTTACAGAGATGTCTTTATAATCAAGTCTCTTTAATTTCTTTGATTTAACTAAACAAGATACAGTGCTATGCCAACACTGCAGGACAGCCACAAGCAATACAAATAGCTCCCACGTGGAGGAAGCATTGCAGACTATGGCATTTCATGTTTCCAAACTTTCTTTGGGAATAACAGGGTGAAATGGAAAATCTGGTTGAGCGTGTCTGTCTCTCGGGGCGTCAAATGATGCATCACAGCTTTGGGAGCTAATCACGCACACTGTCACGTAACCACGCTCAAGGTAAGCACCACTACGGAGACTATTCTGAATTCTGAACTATTTGTAGTTGCCGGCATTTGCAGCATCTAGAAAGACAAACACGAGGTTGCAGTCGTTCAGTGAGTTTCATAGATCACCAGGCTGACTGTTGAGGAAAATGTCAATTTCTTATAGACTACCCTATGATGTGAAGTAGCAATCTCCTGCAATAGCAACAAAATATAAGTGAGCATTTTTGCCAGATTAGGCAAAGGAAAGATTCTGAGACTCTTGACTAACAGAATTAGTTTGAAGTCCTGTGTAAAAGAAAACAGCCACTATAACAGCCTGTCTTGGCCAGGACTCAAAGCAACGCAAGAACTACAAACAAAGCAGTTGGGAGGTAAAAGGAAGATGAGTAAAAGCATCAAGAAACAGTGGTCTCTGTAACAACTGCTGCTAAGGAAAAGAGGAACACGCAGTCCAGCAGGCAGAACATGTGATTTCTTATCATTTTTGAAGACATTATTTTGAAGACATAGACATGACTGCAGACTTCGGTCTCTTGCCAGGGAATCTCTCTTGCCATCCACACCAAAGAACACACTGACTTGACTCACTCCAGGGAAGATCCAGTTCTCAACACCTTAAAGTGACAGAATTTGGACACTTTGCTTGTGTCAGTTTGCTTAAAGACTGCTGAAATACAAATTGGGATGAAAGATTTTATTTAGGTAGCCAAAACAAAAACAAAAGAAAGAAGAAAAGAGTGACAAGGGTCTCTTTTCAGAACAGCACTTTTAAAAGTGAGATGATGTCAGTGACTTTCCAGTTCACACAAGCCCACCGCACAGGCCTGTACGCTCAGCTTCATCCCAAGTTCTTAGTTAGAACTACACGTCTACATTTCTTAAAGAGAACATTTCACATTGGGGAAAACTTTTAAGATACGTTTGAATTAACAGATATGGTCAAATCAAGTGTATGTGAATATTGCATTCTATCTGAAAGCTGTGATAAAATCACAGCTCCAACTTCATGGCAGTCTGCATCAGTCTAAGCACTTCACAAAGGATTCTGCAAAGTGGGGGAAAAACCCCACAGGTAGTGATGGAGAGAGCTCTACTCAAAACCTAATCATCACCTCTGGTATCAGCAGAAGTAATGCAGAAATCATTGGCAAAATTGACTCTTGAATAAATTCTCCCTCCTGTCAAGTTTTCCACAATAAAGAAGTCCCTCTTTAAGCTCTCTATGGTTAGTTCGATTTAGAAGAACAGGGAACAAACTCAGGTTATTGATTCTTACCTTCAGTCCTGTTTTTTCATCATCACTACCATTATTTGTAGATGGTGTTTCATCCCCTTGCCTGGAAACCAAGACAAAATCTTCACTGTTAAGAGTGGATACCGAGTCTGAAGAGACACTGATTTTTCCAACAGAAGCCTTGTCATCCATGACTTAAAAAGGAAGTTCGATTCATGAATGAGATTAAATATGTTATAAACGCCTGAAAAACAAAAATCATAAAAATACTTATATAAAACTTCATGCTAAAATGCTCAAACGTTTCTTCTCAGAAACCTGCTGACTGATTATAAAAAGTAACACATCTGACAGCGCAGTGCACACACATGGTCCTGCTTTGATTTTGCTGAGAAGCACGCTACTATTAGAGCACTGGTTTCCATAGCTCACCGAAGGGAGGTTAATAAATCTTTTTGCAGTATTTCATTATTATGTCAGGCACCATTTTCTACCCATACCATAAAACAGGCCCTTGGAACATACACTATGCCTGCTGACAAAAGCCAGAACTATAAAATCCATTTACTTTCTTCAGATAATCCATCTGCCTTCATCTATGGTCATACAAAAACTACTTCTGTAGCTACCAGAGCTCACTGTATGCTGCAGTCACATTCTTTTCCCCCAGAACAAGAGCTAAATCAAGCTCCTGATATTTTGTGGTGAGGATGCTCTAAAGCCTTGGGGGACACAGCAGTCTGTGAATCTATGCTGAATCTTCTGTACTGCAATGAACAATAAAAGAAAAGACTTCCAAGAAGCAGGAAGAACAGTGTAGGCTGGATCAGTACTAAGAATCGGAGCCAACAGAGGATTTTAAAAAGCTGGAACTGGCACCGAGAGGCATTTGAAGACAGGAACAAAAGGTGAAGTTCAGCTGCACACCTTGAACTCCACAGCACAGATTCTCAGAATCCGTGGCTCAAAACAGACTGCCGTGATAAAAGCGGGTGATTAAATTTCCCAGAAACCCAAATATACCCTTATCACAATGCCCTGGGTCTTCACGTACTCCCAAGCATGACCAAGTCCCAGGCTTTTTCAGCCTCGAGTTGTGCCTTCCATTGAGCAGGGCACTGTCCCAGCCTGGCTTCCAGCAGAGCAGCCAGGCAACCACGGGCACATCCACGGGCATGGCTCATTGCTGAGCCAACAACAAAGCACCAAAAATAGCAAAGCCTGCTTTTATTTCTACCAATACCCTTCTCTCCACAGGCACCAATGGGACCTGAAAATCTGCTGAGAGGATAACAGATTTCTTTTTTCCTAGGGGCTGTTCTCAACCTGATAACTTTCCTGACAGAGTCCCTTCATGGTCCTGAAACATGTTTCACTGGACAACCAAAGCAGTGCCTAAGAGGAGGAACAGATTTGGGTTGCTCATGAATAACAATTTACCTATGAACCCAAAATACCTATTGGGTTCTGTTTTCAAAGCACGTAAGATATTTAGATACCCTTTTCAAAAAACATTTTAAGATCCACTGACTTTCACTGAGAATCACCAGCTGGGAAATGCAGATATTTTGAAAAGTTGGACCCTGTAAGTGTGTATCTGGGTATTACTCACATGTACCTTAAAGGCAGGGCAGAGTTCTCACTTCCAAAGATGCTTTCGTTCACAGAATTCGTATTAAAACATTTCTATAGATGCTCCTTATTGCACCACCTACATAATACACAGATCATCTGAAAATGACTAAATCAAATACACTGAAACACAGACTAAAAATAAGCTTCAACAACTTAATATCCCTTTGGCTTTACTATTTTCACTCAAACGGTACAAACTCATCTGCCACGCTACGACAGGATGAGAGGAGAGGGCTTTGATCACAAGCAGCTGTAAAGATCATCCAGGCAAGGATCAATTTAGCAATTTATTTTGGTGTAGTGCGTCTGTCTTGAAGTGTTAATTTCTCCTGTTTCCAAAGTCTGTCAACCTGACACATTTCACCACGATTTACTTCAACTAAAGATAAAGTGTGCTGTGCTTTTGCGTACTCCTTTCTTCAGCAGCGTGGTGTACAGATACCATGCTTGATCCTGGGGCACAGCAGGCTCAGCCCAACCCCTGCAGCGGTTTCACAATGCAGAATTGCAAGAGCAGAAGGTCCCAATTAACCCAACTTTGCCAACCTTACATTGAGCAAAAGTCTTACCAAAATTACACAAGATAAGAGAGCACAGGAAAGAGGATGATGTCGTAGAGCACTGCAAGCTTTTGTTTATTAGTGATGTAGCAGCAAGCAAGGCTCCATCACGCAGCCGTGCAGGAACTGGCCACAGATGTTCATCATATTAACGCTCAAATAGTTGAGGTGCAAATGCAGTCTCAAAACACTAAAAGTGCAAAAATATTACCTGCTGTTAACCAAAATTTCCATACCCTGCTTTGCACGCATTTTATTTCCCCGGCTCCTCGCTATCAGCCTGTTCCATGCAGATTACTGCGCGGATCATTCTACCTGAATGAGAAAACTCACGACAGAATCAACACCTCTTAAAAGGAAAGAGACTGGTTTGTTTCTACACAAATAAAACACAAGTTTTCGAATCCAGCATAGTTCAGTTCCTGACACAAAACTACACCACAATAATGCAGTATTTGCCTGAAGGTCTCTCCACGCCTCTACAGGAGACAGTGTCCAGCTAAAACACGTGCTACAAGGCCAATTTTTAGCAACTTATTTCTTTGCTCACCTATGTAATCAAATGGGTACCCTGACCTCTCCTCACACAAAAGACCACTGGAAAAAGCTCCTTGAGAAAGGCAACACAGCTGGCTCTTGGGTCACCACTTTCAATTCACCTTCTCTCTGCACTTGGTGCTGTTACAAGATGCTAGAATGCGAGTCCAAGGCTCAAACTATCTTTTAGAAAACGTTCTTTTTATCTTTAAAGCAACCAACAGCAGCAGCAACCTACCTTAAGCTCTTCTATTCAAGATAACATGCAAAGGTACAGCAAAGACACCATGCTAAAATCTCAAACAACTGGAAAACAAACCTCACAAAGTTGAGTCTCTTTAGTTTGCAGAAGAGGAGACTGAGGGGAGACCTCATTCATGTTTATAAATCTGTAAAGGGTGAGTGTCACGAGGATGGAGCCAGGCTCTTCTCGGTGACAAACAATGATAGGACAAGGGGTAACGGACACAAACTGGAACACAGGAGGTTCCACTTCAATTTGAGAAGAAACTTCTTCTCAGTGAGGGTGACAGAGCCCTGGACCAGGCTGCCCAGAGAGGTTGTGGAGTCTCCTTCTCTGCAGACATTCAAAACCCGCCTGGACGCCTTCCTGTGCAACCTCATCTGGGTGTTCCTGCTCCGGCAGGGGGATTGGACTGGATGAGCTTGTGAGGTCCCTTCCAATCCCTAACGGTCTGGGATTCTGTGAAAGTACAAGATGAGTTACACAAATCTGTAAAATATTTAACCTTTACTTCCCTATCCTCTCCCAAGTATTTGGCACCTGACCTGAAACTTAGAGGCCAGAGGGTGAGCAGAAGATTCAATGTTTCAGCTGCAAACCTCCTGGACTGTTTAAAGCAGCAGTCATCTTTAAGTCTTTGGCATCTGTGACACTTTTACCTTCACAGTTGAAATAGTGTATGTTTGTTGTTTCAGAAATACACACCGAGTCATGAAAAAAAGCCTGGAAAACGCTACAGTGTGACGCCAGCATTACAGGTGGTCATGCCAGGTGTTTCAGTCTGAGCAGCACAAGAAATATAAGAGCAAAAGCAGGGCCACACTGACAGATACAGGGGAAAGGAGCTGTGCTTTGGCTTTTTCTGAGCACATACACATCATCTGTATCTTACTGCAGCTTTCGGAAAAAAATACAACAAAAATCAATCGCTAGCAACCTTTTTCTTCTCACGTATCACGTGATTAGGCTGCATAATCATGCATTTGATCTTTACCCACCTTCCCGGAGCAAAGCACAGTCTCAAAAGCAACGAGAAGTATTTTGCACACAAAATGAAGCAAGAAACCCAACGGAATACTGCACGTGACAATAAAAATGTAAGATTACTAAAGAGAGTAATTAATAAAAAACAGCAACTACAACCCTACCTTTTCCGTTCATTTCAAAACAGACTGACAGCCACAGATGTTCCCACGAACCTCAGGAGCCAGAAAAAACGCTATTTATTTGGAGATAACGCTGCCTCAAATTTCACCCTCCCTCCCCTTCTCAAGAGTGGAGAAATGCAGATCTCGGGAAGCCGAGTGAATCACTGGCTGTTGTATGCAAAACCAAGAATCAGACAAAACACAAGAGTTAAGCTAATGCGATCTTTGCCGACAATCCTTAACAGATTCGTAGCTATTGCCAACATAATCGTGGTTTTAATTTGAACTATCTGCTCAGAGGACAACACACTAATTTTAGCCTCTTGTAATAAGCAAATTCTCCGACCCCAGAAACACGCAGCACGGCCTGGGAAACCGTGGTTTATAAAAGAAATGCTGACGCTGCCTTAGCAAACCCATCACAAGAATGTCACTGGAATGAACCAACTACGAACGCCCGGTTCATCCTCGCTGCGCGGCTGACACCCCATCGGCATCGGACACATCCACGCGTGTCTGCACGGGGAGCTGGGACACGCAGGGCACTGCACGGGCTGGGGTAAAGGCAGCACAGCTGGAGGCTACACAGACTCTGCGGAGGATGCTCTTCTGCTGCTGGAGTTCCTCTCTTGTTAGGATTCAAACAGAAAGTTATGCTTACCAGACAAATGTAGCACTTTAAAAGTGTGCTGCGAAAGAACTGAAAAATGAGAGTTGTGTTTGGTGCCTGCTGCAGAAAGCTGTCTGCACTTGGATTCGGAAAATGAAAGGAAACTGCTACGCCAAGCTCCATCTGTTAATTTGTTTACTGTGTACACAAAACTAAGTTTGCTCAGGTCCTTGACCTTTTAATATTAAGTAGAGGCCTTTAAAAAGAAAGCGGTGTTTCTGTAGTTCAATCAGCAACGGGGAAGTCCACGCATTTTCTAACGAAGTAACCACGATCTCTGAAACGCCATCAAGTTTTGCTTCAACAAAAGCTCTAAGTACAATATATCAAGCTATATCTGTATAACACAGGTAAGCAGCACTTGATCTCCAACTTGTTTTTACGAAATAAACATGATCATCTCCTTCTCTCCGAACCTCTCCTGAGTACTTTTTCTCCTTCTCTCTCCCAA